ATACAGAATTGGCATACATCTTAGACATACTTAAGAGCATCACGTAGGAACCGAGTTATCACCCATCTTAAATATGGCCAAGAACTCTTCATCACGTATGAGCAATGTCATCCATTGACTAGATCTTCTCATTATGTAGGAGTCTTGTCACCTTTAAACAATCAGAACTCTTCAACACGTATGAGTTGTGTCGTCTCCCAAATCAAACAACAAATCTCAAAACCAAAAACAAAGAACTGGACAAAAACTGGTTGTCTTTTTCATCTTTATCCTATTCTTGTTAACACAAGAATGTGCAAAGAGGGGCAGCTGTAGACACCCATTTTTGTCCGGGCTTTAAAAAAAATATTATTATTATATATTATTATTATTATTGTTATTTTTATTAATATTATTTATTAATGTTGCAGGCCACCCAAAACGATCCACTCCAGCAATCGAAGGCTTCTAGAATTATCACCAACAAGCATCGTCATTTAGCATCCCCAAATTCATCATCACCAAATGCAAAAGTCAAAAACAAACCTTACCTACCCAATCAAAATCCCACTTAATCTTACCTAATCCACCATTAATCAATGATTCAATTATCCAGTCATCTTGCATGCAAAGACAAAAACAAAGAAAGATTAAATGGAGGCATTCAAACCATTTCAGGGGAGGAGGCAAGCAGAAAACACGAACAAGGGGGAAAAGAAAAAACAGAGAGGAAGACTTCCCCTCTCTCTCGTTGATTATTCTCTAAAAAAAATGGACATTTTGTAATAGCTTTGTAACCGAGGCTCCCTCCAGATTTTCGAAATATATGCAATAAAAAAGGGGTTCGTTGGAATCTTTTCCTTTGTTTCCTTTTCTTTTATGTGTATGTGCTTCAAGAATAAAAACAGTAGAGGGAAATGGAGAGAAGAATACATTTACCTTAAGAGTGACCCTCGCCGGAAAAGGTAGTAGCGTCTAAGGCCACGTCGTCGTTTATGGTGTCGAGTTTTAGTTTGATTTAGGGTATCGATTAGATTCCAAAGAATGAAAGGATGTTGTTGTGGGTTTGTTTTAGGAAGAGTGTTGGTCGTTTGGACAACCATGGGTGGTGGCCGAGAGGAAGACCATTGAGGAACGACGGTTGGCATCATGGAGGGCTCGAGTTTGGCCGGCGATGAGGTTCTTTGGATTCCACGGTTGAAGTTAGAAAATGAAATAAATGTGTTTAATGTTTTTCTGGTTTTCACGTTTCTGGAGTGTTAAAAGGAGGTGTCTTCATTTTAATTTTTTTGGCAAATCATGTGTTAGGTCCTTGATTTCTGGAAACTTCATGTTTTGTTCACTTATTTTAGGAGTTAATCATTTAATGGTCCCTTTAATTTTAGCACCCTTTTCGTTATGGTCACTAATTCGTGGTATAATCACCCCTAAGTCCCCATAGTCTAGCTGTGTTTTCATATTATGGTCACTAGGTGCATTTGTTTTATTTTGAACTCTATATTTTACTTAGGTTTAATTTAGTCCTTAAACTGTCATGTTTCTTATTTGAATTTAATTACTGCTTTTTACCTTTATTCTTTTTTAGTAACTGCTAGTGTTCTGTTAATTCTTGTTTTAAGTTTTTTTTTTAATTTTAGCACTTAATTGTGATAATTATTGTTTTAGGCCTTAATGTTATTTCATGGTTTATCGGCATTACTAGTGTTTTATTATTTAAAATTTCCGATTGTTACCTTAATTTTTGGTTTTACTATTTAGCTATTCAAATTAATGTTAATATTATTATATATTAAAGAAATTCCTATATACGAGTATTAAACATGTTAATAAAATAAGTTCATTTGAGTTTTCCATCTGTATGTATGTTTACTTATACGTATATCATTTCACCCTATATGTGTATTATTGTTTCATGTATTCTTTGTATGGTAGGTAGTTTATTTACCTATGTTTTAATATGATATATTTACCAAGTATTATTATGTTTTCATGAACAAGTATATATATATATATATATATATGTTTATGTAAATAAGATAAATGTTAGTCATGTTAAATACATTATATTTTACTATGTGTATGTATACTTTGTTCATTAAATACATCTAAATTAATGTTTTAAAATATATATATATATATATATATATATATATATATATATATATATATATATATATATATATATATATATATATATATTCTTTGTTTTAGTGTCAATCTTTTAAGAACATGTATTTGTAGAACGGGCGTGAAAAGTATCACTTGATCGAAGTGGTACAATCCGATACGTCATTCGAACGAAATGAGACTTGAAATAAATCTATTTTATTTTATTAATTAAATATTTTATGAATAATTCAAGGTATTTTTATTAATTTATTTTTATGCAATTATCAATATTCATTTTATATTCTTTTATATTTGATTTGCGTTTTTTAATGAGGAAATTTTCTTTTACTATTAAGAAATAGACGAGTTAGTTTTTTTGATGGAGGATTGTTAATCTCGAGATTTCTTTTTAAGTTAAAGAATTTTTCATAATAATATAAATCATTCGAAGCAAATTAATTATATTTTAATAAATGGATCATATTTTAACTTGATATTCGATTTGTGATTTCCACAACTACGATAGTGTATAAGCGATACAGTATTAAATTTGGACGCTGTGGGGGTGTTAATCCTTCCCTACGCGTAATCGACTCCGGAACCCGTTTTAATCAAATCTTTGGTAAAGGCAGACCAGCTTTTGTTTTAAAAATGATTTTTTTAAAATTATTTTTAAAAGACGATTTTAGGTATTCGACTTACCTAACACAAAAGTCGATGATGACTCTTTTTAATTTTATTTAAATCAATCCAAAATCATCAATTTTCTAAAATTAAAAATCATAACTGTTTTTAAAATAATATTTAATTGTTCCACATAAAAACGGTTATGACATGTTTCTTTCTTCATCTTCTTTTTTTTATGAAAAGTCGTCGACTATTATTATTAGAGAAAACAAATAAGAAAACGTGGCTAACAAAACGTCCCAAAAATGAAAGAAAAACAAGAGAAAGAACGGAGACACGAGAGCCCTCTGGAAGGTGAGCAGAACAGTCGAAAGCAGGGTGACTAGTCGACAAAAACTCCGGCCAAGAGGGAATAATGGGGGTTTGCCAGAGCAAAATTAGAAATCCCTCCAAAGAAGATGCACCCAAGGTTCGTCATCTGCATGCTTAAGGGCTCTGAACGGAGATTCCTCAACCCAGAAGCGGTCCGTGGAACTACTGATGCCTTCCACCGCCATCGCATGCGCAGCTTTGTTGCCGTCCCGTCCGATGAAACCAAATTTGCTGGAGAGAAAGGATGCCGCCAATGAGTTGTTCCGCGTCGCGAGTGATGGGTCCTGTTTCCGATAGGTCAGCTACTTTGCTGTTCAATTTGACGATGATCGACTTGGCTTCACTCTCAAGCAGCACCGAGTGGAGGTCGATGTCCCTACCAAATTTGAGACCCTGCAAGACAGAGGTAATGCTGTTGTTTAACATATATCAAGAGCCTAGCCTAGTGTCAGTCCATCATCGTCTCTAGCTATAATACCTGAACAGGATTTACAAGCCCAATTGTTGTAACTTACATGACATCCACATTGGTTTCGGCATAGGGTTGTGGATGAGGCTTCCTGCGGGCAAATCCATACATGAAGGACAAGAGTAGGATCATTTCGTATTTAAAAGCATTTAATGTTATATTATATAACATCTTTTAAATCATTTCTATTTTAATAAAAAAATTAAAATATTATTAACTTTCATCAGCCACTCATTGGACTTAATTTTAAATTATCCCAATAAATTATTGTACTTCAAATGAAAACACATTAAAAAGATACTTCATAATAAAGTTGATAGTACAATGATATGCCGCTCTCATTGTACATAAGATTCACACAAATTTTTTACCTCAAATAAAACATAATGAAACATCTCTTGTTAATTTGAGTCAAATATCAACACCGAGTAATGAATATTTTATCAAAAAATCCGTTAAGGTGCAAGTGTTTATAAAAAAACGTGTATAATTATTGTGGCGTTTATCAAAAACTTCACTAATGTGTATGACTATTGTGATTTTTTTTTTTGTTGCAAGAAGGCTAAAATGCATGACTATTGTGGCATTTATTACAAAAACACCATTAAACTGCCATTAGGGGACAGATTGCAGACTTGCTTGCTGCAACTCCAATTGCTCCCTCTTTTGCATAACTTGCATTAAATAACTAGTTGAAAGTTATATATATATTTATTTATATTAAATTAATAAAAAATATCAATGAAAAATTTAAATACACTATGGTTCTTTTATTTCGTGTGTCATGACGTGTTGGAGAGAGAAATTTGTTTCCGAGATAAATAATTGTGTACCATGTCTTTTCATTATGAATTTTGGTCGAGGGTCATGCACGAGTTGTAAATGAACGATATTTAATAAATTATTGGTGAATTATTCTTATAGTGTTAGTTTATGTTTATTTATTAAGTTAGTTAAACTAAATAAATAAGTATAAATAAAAAAATATTTTAGAAAAATAAATTATTTTTAAAAAATATATTTTTCAAAATCTAGCCATAAGAGAACTAGTTTTACTTTGGAAAGTTATTTTTAATGAATGAAAATAAAGGATGAGATGAGCTTCTTAAGGCATAAAGCCTTTATCTACGAAGTTGTATACTGCACAATACATGGATTGCTAAAAGCGAACACACGCATATAATTAACATATATAATTACAGCTGCACAATGTTTTCTAGTAGGCTTACTAGCAAACTATATTAATTGTGTTTAAAAACTATATCATATCTATTTTCAGGCACGTAATGATGATGCATCGATTACCTTGACTATGTCCGGTGTCGGTGTCGGTGTTGGTGTCGAGTTCAAGTCGACTATGTCTGGGGGCGAGCTCAGGGGACGATTTACCCGTCTCATAGGAACTGCAGTTGGGAGAACATGGAAGATCGTAACATGCAGGATGATTGGTTTACTTCCTATATTTGCAGGCTCAAATACACACATCATGTTCTTCTATGTTGTTGTCGTTCACAAACTTCCTCCATCCACCTGAAAGCCCTCCGCTTTTGCGAGTTCGGTGATAATAAAATCGGGTCCTCCATGTACGCTGATCCATACGAAGAATCACATCTGTCTTTGTTTTAAAGAGATGTTTAACCACCCATGCAATGGGGATAGACTGCACAGTAAACATGGCTCAGCTCTAACATCATTGTCCAACTTGATTGGACAAACAATGTATACATTAAAAGCCATAATCAAGACACACGATCGAGTTTGGGATTAACTTTACCATATAAAACTTTCTGTCAACATGTGTGGGCTTCATAACTACCATAAAACCTTCATCGGTTACAACTTCTTGTGCCTTTAAGAGAGCATTCATTTTCTCAGCTCGGGTCGCAACCCTTTTACCCGTTGCATGCCACAACGAGACGAAGACATCGCCATCTGATGTTGTATGTTCATACTCTGAATCATGTGTGTCTTAGGGGCGGAAAAGAGAGTACAAGTATCAGTCACCCAATTCTTACGAAAGCAAGGTCATGCATAGGGATTGATCATAACATTATGTGACAGGTTCAACCAAGGATGGACCATGGTGGCAATCAATTTCATATTCTCAAATATTTTCTATTGATAATCTATTGACTCCCCCATAAAATTTTATAAAGTTTATAAGTTGGCCTCAAACATAACATCCTCCCTACGATTTATCACTGGGTTCAACAAACTAGTATAAAAAATTAACAAATTCAACCATGGAATGCAGGTTTTATGTTTAGAATAAAGTCTTCAGAGTGCTCCTACCAGTTTCTTGTCTTTCAACCTTCACTCCTACAGGAAAAGTGGATAGTTTTTTGCTTGCAAGGCTCCTCTTTGGTGTGATGGACCGAGCACCGGAATCCAAATTCTCGATCTTCTTCTTCTTATTAGTAGCCGCGTACTGAATAGCATTCCTGGATGGCCTGGCGTCGGTGTCATTGTTGGTGGATTTTTCCGGACTGCTTTCAAGGCCACACCGAGAAGACTTGTGAACAAGTTCATCAGGATTTTCACTCGCTTTCCTTTTCATTTGGTGTCCACAGTCGGATTCCGTGTGCATACACTTCCTCGCAAAATAAGAACATGCTTTCTCACATAAGCTCTTGCCATCAAATATCAGAACATCGAAATGGGACACCCCATTGTATTTGAAGATCAACAAGTCATTCTCGATCAACGAATGGTCTTTTACAAAAGTTTTCCATCCGCCACAGAAGAACAAGGTATCATCGTCTGCTGCTGTCAGTCCTACATCCCATATGACACCACTGGGACCTTTAAGAGTCACATTTTCTGGAAGCCTTTTCTTCACATTCTTGGCAAACTTTTCCGGTATTTCCTGCAAGTCAAAGAAAGGCTAAAGAAAATCGCCATGGAGAGCAAGAGAAGAGGCTGTGGGCTGTGGCAAAAACACAACTCACCAAGCGCTGAAGAAAATCAGCATGGAGAAATTGGGAGAAATGAATGGACTGAAAATGGGTCCAAAAGATTTCCTCTTTCCAGTTCCTACAGTCTTTGCATGAATCTCCCATTTGCTTTAACAGCGCAGATCTGCAAACTTAGATGATTAACAAATGAAAAAACCAGAAATTGAAAGCTATTAACTACAATTCATGTACAGGACTGGTTTTAATTATTCATGATTATGAGAAGGCTAAAAGCAAACCAAAATGGTGAGTAAAAACCATTGAAATGTTTGTACCACAACGATTGAATAGCTGAGACTGAGCTTGAGTGGTGTGTTTTTTTAGACAGAAGCCTTAAAGGACGAGATTTTATGGTTTTGACTCAGAAAACAAAACATGTGGAACACACTTGGCAACCCACAGTTACCACTTCCCACGTTTCAGCTTCGGGTACTGCGCTGTCTGGTATGGTTTCCATAACACACATTGTGTTTGGTACATTGCTATGCTTGAGTGGGGTGTTTTTTAGACAGAACCCTCACGGTTGTTGATTATACGATAATGTTTTATTATTAATAGTAGATTTTTTGGGATATATTATCGAGAATGTCATTATCTCTCTTTCCTTAAGTATTGTAACATTATCGACGTTTTGGATTAAAATGCCCTTAAATTTTTAATTTTTTTTAAAAATATCCTTATTCTCAAAAATATCCTTATTCTCTCAATGAATAATAAAAATTCTACGAATTTTAAATTACAAATTTATCCTTAAATTATTTTAAATTTACAAAAAAAATCTATAATTAAAATTTTATATGAAGTTGATGAGTTAAATTTTTTTTATCATTTCATTAAACCCTTTTTATATTTTTAATTTTTTTTTAAAAAATTATATAAATATTATGAATTTAATTTTTTAAAGAAAATATATAAATATTTTACAATTTGTAATATTATACAAATATATAATAAGCATGGTTTTCAGAACCAGATCGGTTAGCGAATCGGTTATGCTACTGGTTCACTGGTTCAACCGGTCGAACCGGTCCGACCGGTCGGAAGAACCGGACGATGTCATAATTATTTAAAAAATTAAATAAAAATACAAAAAATATTTAATAAAAATAATTTTTTATATCACAAGTCATAACATATATAAGTTAAAAACTATAAAATCAAGTGAAACAAAATGATTCAAAATAACTACAACATAATATTTAAGGTAAAACATATTAAATAATAAATATAATTATATAACTATAATTAAAAAAATAAATTTGGGGTTAAAAAATCATAACAAAATGATATTGTTTGGTTTAATTTTTTTAAAAACAATCTCACATGGCTAAGAAACATAGAAGAGCATCCCAAAAGTCTAAAAAGTAAAAATATGAGAACAAAACAATCTCACATTGCTAAGAAACATAGAAGCGCATCACAACTAACTTCTATAAATAATAGAGGTAATTTGACATTCAAAATCATGGAGCCTTTTGATGAGCATTTAGTGAACTATTCTTTCATTCAATCAAGCTCGAATTTTAAGCTTCAATCGAGCTTCTAATTTTTTTGAGTTCAAGCCTTTTTTAGTTCAAGTTTCAATATTATATTTCGAGTTTGAGTTGAACCTGATAATTTTTAGTTTGTGAGTTTGAGTTGAGTTTACTTTTAAAGTTTTCAAGTTCGAGTCGAGTTCAGCAATACTCGAGTTCGATTTGGCTCGTTTAACAAACGACGTTGTTTGGTTTAATTTTTTTTTAAAAAAAAACAAAAATCTGGGTTTTTCTCGGTTTTCAGCCGGTTCGGTTCGAACGGTTCAACGGTTCTGGCCGGTTCACTAATAGCGGTTCAATCGGTTTAAATTGAACCGGACTAAGCAACGGTTCTCGGTTGAACCGGCCGGTCCGGTCCGATTTTCAAAACAAAGATAATAATGATAATTTGGTCAAATATATATTCTAATAATATTTTATTTCTTTAACCAAATACGGTAATATTATATTCATGCTAAATCAACCAAACACAAAATATAATATTCTAAGTAATCTTATTCTCTGATAATCTTTTATTCACACTAATAATCTTACATTCTGTGAACCAAACGTATCATTAAATGAAGAGCTTTTATGGTTTTGACTCGGAAAACAAAACATGTGTTCAATGTTGAACACACTTGGCAACACACAGTTATCACTTCCCACGTCTCAGCTTCGGGTACTGCGCTGTCTGGTCTGGTTTCCATAAACCAAATTGTGTTTGGTACATTGCTTTCTCTCTCTCTCTCTCTCTCTTAACTACATGGATAGCGGTTTACATTTGGTTTTTAAAATATATAATCCAATTAATTAAAAAAAATAATATATGATTATTTTCATTTAGTTTTAATTAATATATAATTATTCAGAAGTTAACTTTCATTAGTTTAATTATGAGTTTGTTTATTTGGTTGTAATTGGTTTTTTTAAAATTAAATTTTAAAATATGAATTATATTTTTGGAAAACATTTTTTAAAAAACAGTTTACATTGTTTAGATGTTGCATTGTAAAATGTTTTACACTGTTTGGTTAGTTTTATTGAAAATAATTTAGGAAATCTATTTTTTTAAATGTATATATTTTTATATTTTTCTTATTATTTACATTTTAAATTTTTTTAAGTTATTTTTATAAAATGTATTTTATAAAATTTTGAAATGAAATGTTTTATTTGTATAAGTACATGAAATTAAATTTATAGATAATATAATAATTTATGTTGATTGTGTTATAAATATACAATTTTAGGTTTGAAGTATTCATGATACTTTATCTAGTAGCATTTTGATAATTAAATTTTAACTCATAATTAATATTATATGTAAGTTTAATTGATATAATCTTGATAATGTATTAAAAATATATTATCAAAGTAAATAATTAAAATTACATCATTATTAAAACAACAATAGTACATCACATTAGAAATAATAATAATATTTTCAAAGTATTTAATTAAAACTACATCACATTAAGAAAGCGATATTATCCAACCATAATAATACAAAGATATTGTCGAATTCATAATTAGTGCTACAATAGATCAAACCAACATATGATTAAAGTCTATAATTAGTACTACAACACATTAAAGTTTAAATATTATCTAAGTCATAAACAGTAATACTCCACATTAAAAGTTCACATCCTAACTTTGAGGAAACTTTTGAACCCAAATTTTCCTATGTTTTGGGTTTTTTTTTTTTTGCCAAGAAAACAAACATTAATACTTATCTCTGAAGTACGGTTAGCCATAAGCTTTAACCAAATTGTTGTCCTAAACTCAAACACTATGTGCTTCACTACAAACTGTAATGCCAAATTTAAGAATGATTCTTTGAAGACAGAATCCACTACAAACTGCAATGCCAAATTCTTAGTATGAAGGGAGACAGTTAGCCATAAGCTTTAACCAAATTGTTGTCCTAAACTCAAACACTATGTGCTTCACTAATTTAATTACCTTAGATGATCACTAACTATCAATGGTGTTACATGTTTAGTAAGAAGGAAAGATCCTACTGAGTTTTCCAGGCAGGGCATAGAAGCATTCAGTCCTCGAATCGGCATTGAAGTTCCTGAACTTTTCGCACCATTGGCTGCCGTTATCTCGCTCAACCGATGTGTCCCCGCAACCAAGTGTGCAGTCCAAGAAAAAAGCCACGACAATGGCCAACGTTGCTGACGATGAAAACATTACTTGCATCACATTGTTGAACTGCAACTGTTAACGAAATCGTGTTAAGCAAGACGAATAACGATAGAGACTGATGTGTTAAGCATGCGAAATGAATTGACTCACCCATGTAGGAGTGTGAACTGGACCATGACCGGATACTAGTACATAGTCATTGAAATATCGAGGCATTGAGAGGCCCAAAAAGAGAGAAAATCCCAGTATGAACTTGGTTCTGAAGCTGTTTAGGTTGCAAAACTGAAGAAGACCGAGCCCGGCTGAAGCTGCGGTCAATCACAGTGTTCCAAAAACCGGGTTAACTCACATTATTGTTGGTTAATGAGTTCATAAAGAAGATACATACCAACATAGGCAAAGAGGACACTGTGCAGAGCAGCAACAATTGGCAATGGTACTGAAGCCATAACAGCCCCGAATTTCCCTGTCCATAAGCATCACACCGTGACAAAATCAGATCAATCTACATGTAATAATACCCCAAAAATACTCATAAGTTTTGTTTTGAGTTATTGTTCATGTTAGAATATACAGGATTACCGTATCGAATACGGAAAAGAAAAGCATGAATAATGCCGATAGATGAATGACTCTCCGACTTCCGACTCTTGTTAATCCCAAAAGACCTGCATTTTCACTGAATTGCAGGAGACATCATCATCAAATAATGCTTTAACAAATGTAATTATTAATGAATTTCGAAAGTAAATGATAGTTACACTGAAGCAGTGGAGCCAATTCCTGTACCAAATAAACCATTGGGCAAAAGGCCTACTCCCTGGAGTTCACAGAAATCCAAGAACTTATTAGAATCTAGAATTAGGAAATGCAGAAGAAGAGATAAAGATAATCTTATATGTACCAGCCAACCAACCCCACGGCTATGCACAAAAGGTGGCATAGGAGTGGCACTTGCATATCTCGATGCCGCAATAAATGTACCAGTAGACTGCCAAAGAAACTGAACGAAAATGACAATTTTATTTGAACTAAGAAATTTTAATTGCAGCACCTATTGTATAGCTGATGTATATGACAGGGGATGAGAATACAAAAGAGAGCATCATAATATTGTGCAAGCCAATACAAGTCAACATTATCGATACATAGGAGCATACCAAGGTGCAGCACCGATGAGCCCGGATTGGTCGGTACGGCAGCTGAACTGAGTTTTTGGAGCTCTATTATCATAAACACCAGTTGCTGTCAAAATTTCGCCATAAACCCATATAATCGCAACCGAGAAAAGGATCGCAAAACGATGGCGCATCGCTCCCTTGGATTTGAGTAACGGGGGAGCATACTGCAAAGGCGTCAATGATAAACCACATCAGTTAATAACACAAGACATAGGAGAAGGTGAAATATAATAGACCATCACATGATTTGCACAGAAACTTGAGGGTGAAGAATTAAGAACAATGGGTCACCTGAGATAAGAAAACCACTGCTATTAATGCCGGAAGTCCGATTTCAATGCATCTGGACAACTACAGTAACAATGGAAGAAATATGAAAAAAAAGTAAACAATTACTAAAAAAAGAAATGGGATTCACTCACGTTTTACAGAGCAATGCCAGAATG